GAAGGAAGGAAGGAAGGAAGGAAGGAAGGAAGGAAGGAAGGAAGGAATCCCTAAAGGTCTGAGGAAATTTGTAGAAAAAGAAAAAAAAGTTTTGGTACTTAGTGACTTACTACTATGAAGAACTAAAAAATATCTACAGATTTTACCCATAAACTTATAAAATAAGCTTCCTGTCAGGTACAAGTATCAGGGATATGACAGAGCAACTTTGAAAGCTTGTCAAGTCTTCTGACAATTATCCTTTTCTTGTAATCTATGTGGGGACAGATGATACCACAAAGAGCAGCTCTGAATTTTGAAAACTTAGGAAAGGAGGAAGGAAGGAAGCTTAAGAACCCATGGGTTTAAAATATTCTACTTATCCATCCTTCCAGTCCATGTAAGAGAACTAGAAAGTGAAAGAGTATTTCAGATAGAGAGATTTGCTTTCTGGGATTGTGGTCTAAATTTTTGAGATGATGGATTGAAACAGCAAATCTAGTAGATTTGTCAGGCTGCACATCAGGCTGTATTGCTAAATCTCAGCACTCCAGACCCTTACCCTTTATTTAGGAATTAGATTTCTTAGGAGAAGTTTCTCAGACATAGTGTGGATTATGGATTATTCTCTATTGCAACCAGACATGACATCCAGGAACAGATGTTCCACGGCCATACATGGAAACCAAATCTGTAGAAGTCTATGCTCCAAAGTTTAAACTCTAGGCCTTTTTCTTCTGCTTTTCCAAGTTAATGAATGTATAGCAGGGCTGTCAAACTCGCGGCCCTTGGGCCGGATGCATCACGGGCTGGCCCCGCCCCCGCCTGGTTTAACAAAGGGGGGGGGGAGTCCTGATACATCTTGTGTCAACAACATGACGACATGAGTTTGACACCCCTGATTTATAGCCATGCTCTTGAAGGCTTCAAAAAAAAAAAAAAAACGATTGACATTGACATGTTAGTTTCCTAGTTTCCTTTCTTACAGAGTGGTTGGTTAGCCTTTTGTGACAATGATGTAATTAACCCTTGTCCAATTAATATCATTCTCCCTGATGCTCCAGATCCAAGCTGCTCCATTTCTCTGGATGTTTAGAGACACAAATGTGCATTATTTGATTGCACATTTGACACTCGAAGGTACATCCAGCGTTGTGATTTTTATTTTTATCAGAACCAGATATTGAGACACTGTCCAGTTACTTTCTATTGCTGGCAACCACCAGATGACTTCAAAGGATTCTTGAAATTGACCTGTGCTGCTTTGATAAAATAGAATTCAGCTACAGAAGTTTAAGAGAGTTTTAAAACAGCTGCAATGTTTTAGTATGCAAGCCCTGTACTTAGATGATAACTGAAAATTATTAGTTCTTTCTGTTATTTTCTGAATGGGAAAAAAAAGTATTATTTTCATTTATTGCTAAATCGATTATTTTTGATTTGAGATGGATGTGGTTTTGTTTATGTTTAGATAGAGCAACCAGATCCCATCTTGTCTGGTGTTGTGTTTTTGCAGTTTATTTATATTGTGGGCTGCCCAAGTCAGTTTGGACTAGGGAGGAGTCTAATTTGAATTAAATGAATAAATATTATGACTGCACCATTGACAAAATGGTATTGTTACTTCTAAACAGCAAACTATGGTTATGGCAGTCCTTCTGCACAGTGGTGGGAATTCATTTTTTTTTTTACTACCGGTTCAGTGGAGCGTGACTTGGTGGGCGTGGCAGGGGAAGGATACTGTAAAATCTCCAGTCAGAGGTGGTGTTTGCCAGTTCTCCAAACTACTCAAAATTTCCGCTATTGGTTCTCCAGAACTGGTCAGAACCTGCTGAATACCACCTCTGCTTCTGCATTGTTATTAATCTGCAAAAAGGTAAATATCTTGTAATAGTCCCATGTTAAATCCTGTAAGTGGGCAAAGTGGTTCTTATAATTAACTTTGCTTTACCAGGTATCTAAAAAAGCACTGAAGACTAGGGAGGTAAGGCTGGGTAATGCATGCGTTTGTTCATTGACTTTATTTCAGAAAAAGGACCTGTATTTCACAGTCTGTCTTCATCTAAATTATTTCTGTTTTTCACATTTCTCTCTTCTTTCACCTCCTCCCTTCTTCTCCAGTGCTGTGTCTGGGTTTATTTATTTTTTATTATTTATGATTTTTTTTCCCTCATGGAGGTTCAGAAGAAATCTGACAGATTTGCTTTATGAATAATAAATAATATGCTCCGGCTTTTCAGTGTTAAATATAAACTAGTGTAAGCACTGCTTTCTGTGGAAGTTGATAATGCTTTCTAAGTAACATTACTGCATGTTCTGCTCTCCAATTGGTAGCTCTGATTAGTATAGATCAGTGGTTGCTTTATCACTGGATAAGTCGCTATTTCTCTACCCAACATACTGTAAGGGAAAATGGTAGAAGGAATGGTCTGAACATTGCCTTGAGCTCCTAGAGGAAAAGCAAGATATAAATCTGTTTTATAATAATGATAAATTGCGCTGGGGAGGTTTAGGAGGAATTCATCCATATAATGGCATCTTAATTGGTTCCTGCATACCTTTTTCAAGAATGCCACTTCCTCCTCCTCCTCCTCCTCCTCCTCCTCCTCCTCCTCCTCCTCCTCCTCCTCCTCCTCCTCCTCCATAGCCTGGAGTAGGATTTTGAGTTTATCCAATGAATAAAGGTCAGATGAAAGTGAAATACTTGGATTCCCTAATAGAATTCCTTTCCTTTGGGAGAAGCTTTGGGACCAACATAGAAAAAAAAATTATAATAGAGTGCTAATGTTGTTATTGTTATAATTGTTAGCATATGGTGTTGTTATATTAGCCAGGAGACCACAATGCTATTGTAGAGTAGTAGTTTGGCTGCCAAGGTACCAGCTCTGTTGTAGGAAATGCCCACGTGCTTTACAAGGTGCATCACAGAAGGGAGAATTAATTTCGCACCAGAAAAAAAGACAAGTTTCTCTTCCTGCAGCATCATCCATAACCTCTTACCTCCCCAGAGCCACCTCACAAACAGGAGCCATAGCCAGGAAGGTTCAGACCTGTCAGGAATCTGACTGACTGCACAGAGCACCAACTCATTTTTCCACCGAAGTGGTACCTAGTTATATACTTGCATAGAACATGCTTTCGAACTGCTAGGTTGGCAGAAGCTGAGGCAAGTGACAGGAATGCACGCTGCCATGCAGTGCTAGGACTCGAACAGCTGGAGCAGACACCATCTCCAGCATCATTAAGTCTTATAGATGGAAAGATACGGTAATTTCTGTCAGCACCTGGTAGGCCGAAATGTACCCTACTGTAAAACATCGGAGAACCATGATTGTGCAGTGTATTCGGCATTGAGAGCCCTGGCCAAATTGGGTAGATTTGTTTTTGATGTTACTTTTCATCTCTCTGGCTTTGAGGGTTTTGGATTGGATTGTCTTTCAGCATTTTGGGTTGTTGCATTGTTTAGTGATGTAGATGTCTGACTTTTCTCGGATGGATACTATAAGCCAGAAGGCTTATAGGCAGGAATTCAAGGATACAACTTTTGGCAAGACCTTTTGAGAGAAAAGCCATTAACACGAAGAAAATCAGAAACCACATGCACTGTAAGAGTCAGGCTATAGCAATCTTGACGCTTAAACCTCCTCTCTTTCTCTTGACCATGTTTTTTGTGGGGGTGGAAGATGTGGTTGGCACCTATGCATTGTTATTGAAATGGATCACTATGTCCTCAAGCTTTGACCTTACTAGATCTAGCTCTCACAGCGGATGTATGACAGTCTGCCTTGGTGCTGAATCTAGAAGATATGCATTATCTTTATATAGCCTCTCTTTTTTTTAAATACAAACTCTTAAAAAAGGAACCTAACCCCTTATATGCTATTAAATCGCTAATGGAGTAAAATACACACAACAAGGATAGTTGTGCTATGTCGAAGTGCATTTATTGTACTTATCATACTGTGTCCTAAGTATCCAGGACAGTTTGCATGTCCTTGCCCTAATTGAAGACCTCTGCCCTTATAAGCATACCATATGCCTTTTTCTTCAGCGAGGGAGGGAACAGATGGATAGAAGGAAAAGTTAGGAACAACAAACAGATGGGAAGCAAAGTTACCAACAGGACAAATGTACTTTTATATCTTTACTGATTTTCACTGCAATTGCAAAGTTTCTTTTTCTTAAATGTGAGCCTCGTTTTAAGGTAGAACTTTATCCACCCAGATTGTGAGAACATTGCTTCCCAGGCAGGAAGTACCATTTCTGTTTGCTATTAGCTCTATATTACTCCTAGGTTTATTAATTAGATCTTGAATGAGACCTTGATGAGATCTTGAATTAGATCTCAGAAGCCCAAGAAATCTTGAAATCACTGAACTCGGGTCAAAGTCTGAAAAGCCTGGACAAAGAAATATCAGTTCCACTAATTTTTGTAGGCTACCCAATTTCCTCTCAATTCGTCAGATTATTTAATGCAATAAATGCATAATATAAAGCTGAAGTGTGTTTTCTCGGATTCGGAGAAAATTACAAATGGGTTTAGTGTTTTGTGTTTTGATGTTTCAGCTGGAGTGACTGCAGAAACCATTCAGACCGTTAATGTTACTCCTGAACAATCAGGACCTGAAATCAAAATTCAAGAAGAAGAACATGATCTGGTTGATGAGGACATCTCAGCAGGTAAGTGTCATAGTCTGTATAATCCCACTGATTCTCTGCTCTTGATGTGGTATTTCACAAGTTGCAGTCAACACCCCTCCATTTTGAACAACGCTTTATAAAGCATTTGCACCTGAAATTTCATTGTAAAGTTATTTCAGGAAGTAATATATCTAGATATATTTCGCTTTAAAAACATGTGTCACTGCAAAGATTCACTTGTGTTTTGTTAATTTTATTTTTTAGGCTCTGCTTTCTTATTGCTCAAATATGGCATGAGGAATCGTGTAGATTTCCAAAAATTCTTACAATATGCAAAATTTGTTGATTAAATTTATTTGCTGCTCATCTTAGTTTGAGCAACTCTGGGCAGCTTATAGCATAAAAAACATTAAAATCATCAAGTATAAATATTCATCCAATAAGACAACTTACTGAATTTATTGAAAGAGTAAACATTAATTATGAATGTATGTTCAGTTTATTTTTACAGTGTTTTATTTCCTTAAAGGTTCATAGCCCAAGTAGTTGCTTTTGTGTAAGCCATCCTGGGAAAATGGAGCACTGGTGAGATGGCTGCACTGTATCGAACATACTTTTACCCAGTTTTAATAATAATAATGATAAATTTATTATGTTATAATTTATTTTGATTTTTATTATGGTATAATTTTTAGTGCTTGTTTTTTTGCGATCAGTTTTAACTGCCTGATGCCCAGAATCGCATTCAGAAGATGGGAGTATATAAATATAAATATGAAAGATAGATTAATGAATAAATTAATTAGACACTGTTTGGCATAGGTCAAGGATTACAGTATCTATGTGGGGCAAATGGAGAATATTTATGTTGATGTCAGATTTCAGACAATAATTCTTTCTTGAGAAAAGTTACTGCAATTAATTAATTGGGGTGCTGTAAGCAATGTACATGGTGTTTAACAGAATAACAGAATTGGAAGGGACCTTGGAGGTCTTCTAGTCCAACCCCTTGCTCAAGCAGGAAACCCTATATCATTTCAGACAAATGGTTGTCCAATCTCTTTTTAAAAACCTCCAGTGCTGGAGCACCCATAAGTCAGTCCACTGATTTAATTGTTCTAAGTGTCAGGAAATTTCTCCTTAGTTCTAGGTTGCTTTTCTCCTTGATTAGTTTCCATCCATGGCTTTGGATGTCCTTTGGAGCAGGGGTTGCCAACCTTTTGGACCTCGGGGACCACCAAACTCATAATTTTAAATCCCAGGGACCACTAACTGGTTCTGTGGGCGTGGCCTAATTTGTGGGTGTGGTTTGGTGGTCATGTGACTGGCTGGTCATGGCTTGTATGTAAATATTATAAATATTTATATAAATATTGAATTTTTTATTAAAAAAAGAGCAACTTTTACCCAAAATTAGGCAAAGCAGGCAGGCAGATTGAGTTGCTCACAGAATCATTCAGTGATCTATCTATCTGATATCAGCTACCTGAGTCTGTCAGATAAAATTTGCTTGCCATGAGTCTGCACTGAATAATAGATAGATTCGGCTGTGCTTAAAAGCAGAGCCGAAGATCTAAAGACTAGCTAGAAAGCAAGAAATCCAACCATTTCCTGCTTCCTAGCTAATCTAAATCTCCCAGCTCAGCAGAACAGCTAATGGTTGGAAAAATAGCAATTTAGCAGGCAAGTTTGCCGGGTAAGGAGTGAGTGGGCGGGGAGGGTTCCCGTGGGCCATGTGGGCGGCACAGCCTTGTGTTTCTGCACAGCCTGGATTAATTGCTTTGGGGGGTGCTCTGGGGGGTGAGATTTTTCTGTGGCCCATCAAAATTTTCTCACGGCCCATCAGTTGGCGACCACTGCTTTGGAGAATAGGTTGGCCCCCTCTACTGTTTTATGGAGTAAAATAAGTACTTATTGCACAATGGAAAAGTTAACAAAAGGAAAGGCAAAGTATTAGTGAGCAAATAAAATTTTATTCAGTTAAAGCTTCACTTTAGTTAGGGTTGCACTCTGAAGGAATAAGACAGCAACTTAATGACTTTTTCCCTTTTTATCCAAAGGGAGAGACTGCATAAAGGCATTTATAAAGGAATATGTCAAATGTCTCATTTCTTTCACTAATTGATTTTCTTCTCGTTTAAGCTATCAATAGCAGGTGTACTGAAATAAAAAAAATGTTTACTTTCTTCACAATTTACATAACTACAAAATTTCTTTAAAAACTAATAAAATGATAAGCTAGGAATTGTATATGCTCTCTCTTGGACCTTGTTACTTGATTTTTGTGCACATTTTAAAAGGAAACAGTATTTCTGTTGACTAGATGCCTATATAAACTGCAGTACAAAAATCACGTAGGCATATACAGTGAAACCATTATCACTGTAAATCTTATTTTGGTGGCATTTGAAAAGAAATAAGACTTAGTATTTTTGCCACAAAACATGGGGCAATAAATCCATTGGTGTTTTGATGATTTCCCACGTTTTGTGATCACCGAGTAATGGTTTCTATTCATTCAAAGCAATGCTGCTATATAATTACTGTGCAAGTTTATGCTCTGGGCTTGACAGCTTTCAATATTTTATATGTTTATTGAGAACTGCCTGATTTGGATGAGGTCAGGTATAAATTCATGAAACCAAATTATAAATTAATAAGTCTGTAGTGATTTCTGATCTATGTATATTATTTTTAGAATATAGCCACTGTGCTGGAAATTCTTACTTTTGATTGATAATTGCATTATTGTTGTTTAAAAAAAAGAATGTAAGATATTCAACATTGGTTAGATGTTTATAATGTTACTCTCAGGATCGGGCTATTAGTAGTAAAAGACTACTTCAAATATAATTTCATTGATAAATATAATCCTATTGAAATGTGGTGTTTTCATTCCATTTCTCTATATTTATAGTATATATCTATATTTTAAATGCTAATAACTATTGATTCACTTCCCAAGAAGAATGTGTCATAGTTTTTATCAAATCAGTCAACATTTTTAATGACTAAAATAAAAGCAAATCAGTACCACTTCCATTCCTTGAAAATTCTTTTGTCTGTAGAAAGAGACTAGCATTCAAGTTATATGGATAGTTGTATCTGATACAGGATATATAACTGACAGCCTCCAATTATATATCCTGTTAAAATACATTTTTAAAAAAAATGTTGTTTTAAATGTGAAAAATTATCAGTAACTAAAATGTGAAAAATTATCAGTAACTAAAATGAATTAACTGGTTGGTTAATGCACACAGGAAATATATCACCTAGAATGAACTTAACTGAAATAAGATAAAGAAATAGTATGATACTAGTAAGCAGCAGTGTGTCTCTTAATCTACTATTTAGATGCTTTAAATTTCTTTTCTAATAAAAAAAATTAATGCATATAGGAGAGTTCTGCATTTGAATTACATTTCTCATGAAATAGAAAAGCACTATTTGCAGCTTTTGTGTCTGAAAGATTAGTTTCAGCTTTCTTTGGTCAGCACAGCTGACCACATAATAAAAGAAAAGGTCAAAAGTCACTGTCATTGTCAAAATCTGAGATTATAATACTATATCACTACTTCTTGTTGACAGATTTAATGACCTCAACTTAAAGAAGCAGTATGGTCATAGATTAAAATATTCTGTGCTCTAAAATATGGGAGGACAGATCTCAGATTTGTAGGATCTGTATATTGGTGTATTTTGCTAAGTCAGCCAAGTCGGAGCCAAATATAAAAATAGGGAAAAAAGCATAAAATTCAAAAGTTCTGACTATCAGAACTGAACTGGTCTCATCATCTACCCCTGTCCTCTGTGTTGGAATTGAGCAGTGTATAAAATTTATACATAAAGTGTATAAACTTATAAATAAACAAATCATAGTTGTTAAATAATTGCAAATAAAATCTTGACCATCAAATCTACTTTATTTCCACCCACTTGGGTAGGGATCTTTGTTTATCTTTTTTTTGTTGCTCCTATTATATATGCATCATTATTTTTGTAACCTCCATTGTCATAGTTTCGCTGAAATATCTTGAGAGATACTAACTTATTTCCAGACGATATAAAATTTTAGTGAGGCTGTGCTTCACGAAGGTGCATTCCTTCTTTACACTATTGGCAAATGGTACAATTTAAAAGCAAAGAAATCCAGCAGCTATAATACTACCACAAAGGACCCACAACCACAGTAAACTTTAATTCAGGTCTCAAGGGCTTTCTAAATGCCTAGGAGAGAAGGCACCATCCATATTTCTGGAAGGATAGTCTTCCAAAAGATTGAGCTGCATAAGAGCAGCTGATCTCGCATTTCTAACTCTGAACTCAACTGTTCTGCTGGTTAACAATCATAATAAAGTTATTTGCATTTTGAACCTAACTGTATTCTGTGGTATTTTTTGCATTTGTAAAATGAAAGAAATGTCTGTTTTATTTTTATATAAATAAAATACCTTGATTTTGCATAATTATTTCCATTCATTTACTAAAGGTTCATTATTTCCGGTGTGCAACCAGCAGAAAAAGCAGTGGGTTGTTTAGATGTGCTGCATATTATATTTACCTCATGCTAAAGTTTGGCTAGTTTTCAACAATTCCAAAGAGCAGTATAAAATGTACATTATGGTATTCTTGAAATAGTTTGTAGTTCTGTCAATGAGCAAAAATCTAATTTGAACATCTGTCTTTGCCATGCTTTGTATTCTGATCTTTTAGTGTCACACAGATCATGTGGAGAGCGATATAAATGCATCTTAAAATCCCTGCTCACTGAAGGCCATTGTTCCTTTAAAAAAAAAAAAACAATCTCCTTCAGTAACACCGTTATGATATTTCCTCCATCCAGATTTACCCTATACTTTCAATAATGTCTTTTATATACAGTATTTAGCAAAATACATTATCACTATAAGTTCAGAAATGTAAATATAATAGAAATGAATTATTTTTGAATGCATCTAATGGTGAAAAAAATATCCATTTCCAGTGTTCAAGAATATAGTTGAAAGAGGATTTAGTGCAAGACTGTGTATTGATCT